CGTTATTGCATTTTAATAAATCACTTGATAGATTCTTGTTCTCAAAAACCTTTTTCATGTGCAATGTAATACAGCCTCTCTCTCTCCTCTCTTCTCTTCTCTTCTCTTCTCTTCTCTTCTCCTCTCCTCTCCTCTCCTCTCCTCCTCTCTCTCTCTCTCTCTCTCTCTCTCTCTCTCTCTCTCTCTCTCTCTCTCTCTCTCCAGTAAGCGCACACACTCTTGTGAAAATTCCTTCCCTGAGTAGACTCAAACAGCATCTACTCCTTTTAAAGACCCCCCAACAAACCAAAATGGATTCCATAAAAGTTGACTCTGAGAACTCAGTGAGTTTCCTGGACTTCCTTACAGAACACAGGTGAGGGACTGCTTACAGGAGCATAGGTGTGCCTCCCTGAAAAAAAAAGCTACACTGGAATGTCTTTACCTAGCAGCATTGAGGGCTTTCCCATAGCTGAATAGATTTAGTCCCACCCCTAATCTTCTCTGGACCCTTCCCATGACCACCCACAGTTAGAGCAGAGTTTCATGCAACTGGTTGTAGGATGTAGCTTGGTGCTCAGTTGAGGACTCCTGACCCGCCCACTGCTCTGTGAGGGATGTAAATAGTAACCAAGCCCTGATGGGATGATATTTTACAAAGTAACACAGCTGGATGCTACAAGATGGCAGTTCTTTGAGCTCTGAGAACAGTACTGTACAACACACACACACACACACACAGAGAGAGAGAGAGAGAGAGAGAGAGAGAGAGAGAGAGAGAGAGAGAGAGAGAGAGAGATACTGGATCCAATGCCATCCGCCAGGTCTTTGGATCTTAGGCATGTCTTGTGGGAAGGAAGGAAGTCAATTTTCTTCAGTGGTGAGGGCTCTGAGACACCACTCCTGCTCCAGTACATGGTCCCATAATTGTGCACATGCAAGCAACACTAAATGGTTTCATGGGTATTAAATTAAAAAACAACTAACACATCAGTGTTATTCCAGTATGTTTTATAAGTGCAAAAAAAAGCAAATGAGTGATAATTATCATGTAGAAAAACAGCAAAACTTCAAAACCTCCTACTCACTGTTAAAACTCTTCTTCCTCCATTTATCTTCACAGTGACCTGATTCTTTGGATGGGAACTGATTTACCAGTCACTATTCCTCTCTTCTACTTGCCTGTAGAAAAGAGCAAATTTCCTTCAGAGCTTCATGGGATGTTTTCTTGTCAGTCAACATTGAGTATGGGGTCAGTTACCCATAGTGTGATATGTATGAAGATGAGAAAATACAAGGCATTGATGAATGAGCAGAGGGAAAAAGAGTACCCCAGCATTAGGCTGATGAAGGCTACCTGGCGAGAGTGTGGGTTTGAGGGAGAAAAAGAAGGAAGGAAGAAAAGAAGGAAGGAAGGAAGGAAAGAAAGAAGGAAGGAAAGAAGGGTGTTTTCTGTTTTTCCTATCTAATATAACATTAGCTATATGTTTCTCATATAGCAATTATTGTTTTAAAGTAAGGCTCATCTATTCCTAATTTTTCCAGGACTTCTACCCTGAAAACCTTTCGAATTTTATCAAATATCCACTTTTCTGTATGATCATGTGATTTCTATCCTTAAGATTAGTCATGTGATGAATGACATTTATTGATTTGTATGTTGAACCAACTTTGCATTCCTTGGGTGAAATGCTCTTGGTCTTGATTATTATTGTCATTGATTATGGTGTTGTATTTGAGATGTGGTCTCACTATGTAGACCAGGCTGACCTAAAACTCGCAATGATTTATCATTCTCTGTCTACAAAGAACTGGGAATAAAGGTGTGTGCCACCATGCCTGGCTAAAACAGTTTTTCTTTATATATGTTCTTTTCAGAAGATTCTAGTTTTCAGTTTGCAGGGGTGTGGGTAGTGGGGTTGGAATATTCTGTTTATGTTCCTGTAAAATAGGTTTATCATTTTTTTCATTGTATCTCTCTGGTTTTGGTATCAAGACAATACTGCCTTCGTGATTTGAATTTGGGACTGTTCCTTCCCCTCTTAATCCATAAAAGAGTTTGAAAACATTGTTATTATGTCATTCCCTAAAATTTGATACAATTCAGCAGTGACTGCTTTCTGTATATTTTCTTTGTTAGTAGATCTTTGATTAATACATCAATCTCATGTTCATTATGGGTCTTTTCTGGATTTATTTTAGGTAGGTCCTATATTGCTAGAAATTTATCCATTTTACCTGGTAGGGCAGAGTAGAGCTAAGCAGAGAACTCTCATCAGAAAAATCTCAAATTGCCAAAAGACATTTAAAGATTTGCTCAACATCCTTAATCATCAGGGAAACACAAATCAAAATGACTCTGAGATACCATCTTACACCTGCCAGAATGGCTAAGATCAAAAATACTGAGGACAGCTTATGTTGGGAAGGTTGTGAAGTCGGGGGAACACACCTCCACTGCTGCTGGGAGAGCAAACTTGTACAGCCACTTTGCAGAGTGGATGAACATGGTCCTGCCTCAACTTAATGTGTCAGACTCTATTGACACCCCATCAGAGTCTTTGCCCCTTGGAAGGAGCAGATGGAAGGTGGGTTTGGGGGGAGATGAGGCAAGGTGGGAAGAGGGTTAGGAGGGAAAACTGTGGGTGTGATGTAGGATAAGATTAAATACTTAATTAATTAATTAAATATATATATAAAGAAATGAACATTTCAAAAAGAAATTGTACACTCAAATATCCACATAGTTACACATCCAAACGAAATGTTTGTATCTACTTTTTGAAAGTGCCATATAAAGCTTTTAACACCATTTTAATTTACTTAAGCTTCAAAAATGCTGCATTTTTTTAAGAAAGAAAATCAACATGGAGATTGTGTGAAATTCATTCATGGGGAGAAAACAGACCAATGAGAAAAAGAAAGAATACATCGTTACAGTGAAGGATTCCACAATCATAAGATGGATCAAAAAGTCAATTGTAATTTTCATTTGCAAAGAGGCAATGAAATGAAAGGTGGCAAAATTGGCTGAAAAGTAAAGTTCTTGAAAAAGAATGAGAGGGTATCACTGAAACAAGGGATGAATTTTTATTTCTTACCTGATTTGAGATGTCTGTCCATTGTAACATTATTTATTCCTTTCAAAATGTTTAAGACTTCTAAATGATTTTTAATTGATTTTTATTGAGCTCTACATTTTTCTTTGCCCCCTCCCTGCCTCTCCCCTCCCCTTTAACCCTCTCCCAAGGTCCCCATGCTCCCAATTTACTTTTACTTCCTATGTAGATTAGATCTACATGTCTTTCTTAGGGTCCTCTTTATTGTTTAGGTTATCTGGGATTGTGATTTGTGGGCTGGTTTTCTTCACTTTATGTTTAAAAACCACTTAAGAGTGAGTGCATGTGATAATTATCTTTCTGTATCTGGGTTACCTCACTCAAAATGATGTTTTCAAGGTCCATCCATTTGACTACAAAATTCAAGATGTTATTTTTTTCTGCTGTGTAGTACTCCATTGTGTAAATGTACCACATTTTCCTTATCCATTCTTCAGTCAAGGGGCAATTAGGTTGTTTTCAGGTTCTGGCTATCTCTATGACAAAAAATGAACATAGTTGAGTATATGCCCTTGTGGCACGATTGAGCACCCTTTGGATATATACCCTTTGGTATTTCTGGGTCTGGAGGATGGTTGTTTCCTAATTTTCTGAGAAATCGCCACACTGATATCCAAAGGGGCTGTACCAGCTTGCATTCCCACCAGCAATGCAGGAGTGTTTCTTTTACCTCACAACGTCTCCAACATAAGTGTTCATCAGTGTTTTTGATCTTGACCATTCTTACAGGTGTAAGATGGAATCTCAGAGTTGTTTTGATTTGCATTTCTCAAGCTTCTGTAAAGACATAGTCAACAAGACAAAACAAAAGCCTACCATATGGGAAAAGATCTTCACTAACCCTACATCAGACAGAGGTCTGATCTCCAAAATATACAAAGAACTCAAGAAATTGGTCATCAAAAGAACAAATAATCCAATAAAAAATGGAGTACAGACCTAAACAGTGAACTCTCAACAGAGGAATCTAAAATGGCTGAAAGACACTTAAAGAAATGCTCAACATCCTTAGTCATCAGAGAAATGCAAATCAAATATCTTTACCACAAGTGCCTCTGAGATACACAGGTGGAAGAGCAAGAGATGTGTAGGCAAATCTGAAGTGAGGATTTGCTGTGTTTTGAACAGAGACCCAACCAGCCCATCACTGTGAACATAGCACCATTGTGTAGATACTTCATAAGTTAAGGATTGTTGTGGAATATTCCTTTACACTATGTAAATTTGTGTCAACTGTGGTTGGTTGAATAAAGATCTGAATGGTCAGTAGCAAAGCAGGAAGAGGTTACACAGTACTTCTGGGGACAGAGATGTCTGAGGGAAGAAGAAAGTGTCACCTTCAAGATGCTGAGGAAGCAGAACATGCAAGAGAAGGAAAAGCCATGAGCAGCGTGACAGCCTGTAGAGTAATGGGGAAAGGGAGATCTGAGCTATAAGAGCTAGTTAGAAACAAGCCTAAGGTAAGGTCAAGCTTGCATAATTAATAACTAGTCTCTATGTAATTTTCTTGCTAGCTGGTGGCACAAAGAAAAATATGCCTAAAAAGGACAGACAAGCTGTAGACAGACACTCTAATTCACCAAAGACAGCAAGGGCTACGAGAGGACCAGATGATGCCCAAGGGTACAGTGAAACTGGCTGTGTCTTACCCTTCCCTTTATTGAACGTGTTCCTATGAGGAAGAAGAATCAGATTAAACTTTCTAATGTTGCATAGCATTGAGAAGCACTTCCTTATAAAACATAAAGTGAATATGGAAAATGGTGTAAACAACATCATGGAAAAGTCCGTTGATTGGTTCAGGCCTTGAAGGCCTGACATATAAAAGGTTCAGAATGCAAGACTCATCATATTGTAGAAAACTCACCTATTAACAAGAACTGTCCAATCACTCCTGACACCATGGCCAGCTCCTGCTGCTCCCCTTGCTGCCAGCCTTCCTGCTGCAGCACTGTCTGCTGTAAGCCAGAATGTGTGACCAGCTGCTGCTGTCCACCCTGCTGCAGGCCCAGCTGCTGTGAAACCACCTGCTGCAAGACCACCTGTTGTAAGCCCACCTGTGTGACTAGCTGCTGCTGTCCACCCTGCTGCCAGCCCAGCTGCTGTGAAACCACCTGCTGCAAGACCACCAGCTGTAAGCCCACCTGTGTGACCAGCTGCTGCCAGCCCAGCTGCTGTGAAACCACCTGCTGCAAGACCACCTGTTGTAAGCCCACCTGTGTGACTAGCTGCTGCTGTCCACCCTGCTGCCAGCCCAGCTGCTGTGAAACCACCTGCTGCAAGACCACCTGTTGTAAGCCAACCTGTGTAACCAGCTGCTGCTGTCCACCCTGCTGCCAGCCCAGCTGCTGTGAAACCACCTGCTGCAAGACCACCTGTTGTAAGCCAACCTGTGTAACCAGTTGCTGCTGTCCACCCTGTTGCCAGCCCAGCTGCTGTGAAACCACCTGCTGCAAGACCACCTGTTGTAAGCCAACCTGTGTGACTAGCTGCCTCTGTCCACCCTGCTGCCAGCCCAGCTGCTGTGAAACCACCTGCTGCAAGCCTACCTGTTGTAAGCCAACCTGTGTGACCAGCTGCTGCCAGCCCTGCTGCCAGCCCAGCTGCTGTGAAACCACCTGCTGCAAAACCACCTGTTGTAAGCCAAGTTGTGTGACCAGCTGCTGTTGTGCACCCTGCTGCCAGCCCAGCTGCTGTAAAACCACCTGCTGCAAGACCATCTGCTGTAAACCCAGCTGTGTGACCAGCTGCTGTTGTACACCCTGCTGCCAGCCCAGCTGCTGTAAAACCACCTGCTGCAAGACCACCTGTTGTAAGCCAACCTGTGTGACTAGCTGCCTCTGTCCACCCTGCTGCCAGCCCAGCTGCTGTGAAACCACCTGCTGCAAGCTTACCTGTTGTAAGCCAACCTGTGTGACCAGCTGCTGCCAGCCCTGCTGCCAACCCAGCTGCTGTGAAACCACCTGCTGCAAAACCACCTGTTGTAAGCCAAGTTGTGTGACCAGCTGCTGTTGTGCACCCTGCTGCCAGCCCAGCTGCTGTAAAACCACCTGCTGCAAGACCACCTGCTGTAAGCCCAGCTGTGTGACCAGCTGCTGTTGTACACCCTGCTGCCAGCCCAGCTGCTGTAAAACCACCTGCTGCAAGACCACCTGTTGTAAGCCAACCTGTGTGACCAGTTGTTGCTGCACACCCTGTTGCCAACCCAGCTGTTGTGAAATCTGCTACTGCACACCCTGCTGCTGTGAGCCCTGCTGCTGCCAGCCTTGCTGCTGCGAGCCCTGCTGCTACCAGCCTTGCTGCTGCGAGCCCTGCTGCTGCCAGCCTTGCTGCTGTGAGCCCTGCTGCTGTGAGCCCTGCTGCTGTGAGCCTTGCTGCTGTCCAACCTGCTGCTGCCCAGCCTGCTGTGAAAACACCTGCTGCTAGATCACCTGATGTAAACCAACTCATGTGACCAGCTGATGCTTCCAATCCTGCTGCTGTGAGTCCAGGTGCTGCCCGGCCTACTGCTCATCAACTTTCCAACTGAACAATGCCCAGACAACTGTCCTTGTGTCTCACCAGTCTCTCCATGTGGGCAGAAGCTCCCATCGTCCTCTGAGGCTATGACCACTTCAGAAAACTATCAGCCACCTTGATGGAATGCAAGTCCACTCACTCTCACTCTCCTTTTCTCTCTGCATGGAATCCAGTCTGCAGCTTCTCTTCTGAGCGCAGATCTTCATCTTTCCCTCTGATCAACCAAGAAAGAAACTTTAAATAAAATTATCAAAAATATATGGAAACTTAATAAACTCTGGACTCTTATTCTTTGCACATTGTCTGTCATCATTATACTTTAGTAAATCACTGATAGTATATCCACATGCTCAAAAGACTTTATTGTGCAATATAATAAAATCTCTCTCTCTCTTTCTCTCTCTCTCTCTCTGTCTCTCTCTCTCTCTCTGTCTCTCTCTCTTTAACACACACACAATGTTATTAAAATTCCTTCTCAGAGGAGACAAAGCATCTATTTCTCCTACAGTCCCACCAACCAACCAAAGAAGGATTGCAAGAAAGTTGATTCAAAGGGGCCAATGAGTTTCCCTGGCTTGCTTACAGAGCACAGATGAGAGACTGCTTACAGGAGTATGCAACTGGTGGCAGGATATGGCTGGGATCTCAAGTGAGAACTCCTGACCCTTCCACCTCTCTGTGTGGGTTGTAAACAGTAACCAAGTCCTGCTGGAATGATTACAAAAGGCCACAGCTGAATGTTTGCCTCAGACGACAGTACTGTACCACACACACACACACACACACACACACACACTACACAAACACACACTCACACTCACACACACACAAAAAAAAGTAGACCCAATGTCATCCACCAGATGTACGGGATTATTAGAAGTAAATAGACAATATTTAATAGCTCCCATGTCTCTTAATCCATACCCTGAAAGAATGACCCTGTTCTTTTCTTCCCTGAATCTGACTTTCAGAACCATCATTTGAGTAGAATCACACAGCACTGGGTTTCTGTTGTGCATTTTCATCCATTTACAATTGATGAGTATTTACGTTGCTTGTACATCTTGACTATTGTTAGTAGGATCAGCATAAACAGAGGAGGGCTACTACTTCAGCTCTTCCTATAAACTGACCTGAGGTGACCTGTGAAAATAGTTCGCCACTCTCTTGACCAAGAAAGGCCACAAACGCAGGCAATTCAAGAGCTTCAAATGGACGCAAATGAAACTGACTGGAGATACAAAGGTGACACTGTTCATGTGTCTCCGTCAAACAGTGGAGATGGACCTGATGTCAATGATCTAAACAGAACACTGCGTTTCTGCTGTTCCGGCTTAAAAATGCAAAGACTGAGGTTAATCTCAAGGAATTGGACATAGAGTCTCAGCACGTGGACTATGTTCAGGTGGACAAGCTGCACAAGATAGACCACAGTACTTACTAAGTTCACAGTTGAATCAACTTGATACCTTCCCTTTAGACCAAATCCCATGAACACCTCCCCCACCTTGCTGCCATTTTTTGATGGATTGATTTTGGGCAGATCTTGGGGAAAGGGAAAGTTGGTTTTCTTTAGGGATGAGGGTTCTGAGGCACTACTCATGTATGGTACCACTCTCATGCACATGTAAGCAACATTAAATAGTTTCAATGGGCATTAAATTTAAATAAAAACCTCAAAATAATTAATTTTGTTATTCCACTGAGTTTGATTTTAAGAAGTAGATGAATGATAATTAATTGTAGAAAAATAACAACAGAAGTTCAAAACTCCCTTCTCATTGTTTAAACGCTTTTTCTCCATTTATCTTCACAACGAACTTATTCTCTGTTTGGATGGGAACTGATTTACTCGTCACTTTTCCCTTCATCTCCTTAACTCTAGGGGAAAAAAGCAAATTTCCTTCAGGCTTAATAGGATGTTTTCTTGTCAGTCCATTTTGGGTTTGGTGTCAGGTATGCATACTGGGACATGCATCAAGATGTGAACAAGACAGGAGAAAGACTGAGCCAGTGACCCAGGCCAGAGCAAGTCTAAGGCAGCAAAGTCCAAAAAAGCATAACTGAGCCAGCGACCTGGGTCGGAACGGGCCTGGGACAGTGAACTCCACAGGGGCAGGAGTGGATCCAGACCAGGGTTATTTGCAGAAGAAGGACTGGGCCAGCGACCTAGGCCAGAGCAGGCCTGAGGTGGTGAGCTCTACTGGAGGAGAGCAGATCCAGACCAGGGACATTTGCCTAGACAGGACTGAGCCAGTGACCTGGGCCAGAGCAGACCTGAGACAGTGAACTCCAGAGGAGCAGGTACAGGGAGAAACCACTGAGCAAGTGTTCCAGAGACAGAGACCACTGAGGGTCCATGCATGAATCTGGGACCTTCAAGGGAGTAGACCTGAGCCAGGACCCCTGTGGGTCTGGGAATGAGTCTAGGACTTCCGAGGAACTAGCCATGAGCCAGGACCTCTGTGGATCTGGGCATGAGTCTGGGACCTCCGAGAGAGTAAGTAGGAACCAGGAACCTATGCAGGTCTAGGCATGAGTATGGGACCTCTGAGGGAGTAGGCCTAAGCCAGGTCCTCTGCTGATCTGGTCCCACCCAAGTCAGGGACCAAAGAGGGAGTAGATTAGCGCCAGAGACCTTTGCAGGACCAACCCCAAGCCAGGGACATCTGCAGGAATGGATCCAGACCAGGCACGTTTGCAGAAACAGGTCTGAATTGACAACCTAGGCCAGAGCAGGCCAGAGACAGCAAACTCAACAAGAGCTGAGCAAAGCCTGGGAACACTGAGACCACTTCAAAAATAAAACCCCAGTAGCAGAGACACTGAGAGAAACAATTAATAATGGGACCTCCTAAAACTGAAAAGGTTCTATAAAGCAAAGGACATGGTCAACAAGACAAAATGACGGCCTACAGAATGGGATCCCATCAAGGCCATATCAGACAGAGGTCTAATCTCCAAAATATACAAAGAACTCAAGAAATTGGTCATCAAAAGAACAAATAATACAATTAGAACTGGAGTACAGACTTAAACAGAGAACTCTCAACAGAGGAGTCTAAAATGGCTGAAAGACACTTAAGAAAATGCTCAACATCCTTAGTCATCAGAAATACAAACCTGGAAGACGGGCCAAGATCAAAAACACTGATAACAACTTATGCTGGAGAGGTTGTGGGGTAAAGGGAACACTTCTGCATTGCTGGTGGGAGTATAAGCTGGTACAGCCAAAATGTCAGTGTGGCGATTTCTCAGAAAATTAGGTAACGATATTGCTCACCATTTTTGAGTATATATCCAAAGGATGCTCAATCGCGCCACAAAGACATGTGCTCAACTATTGTCATAGCAGCATTGTTTGTCATAGCCAGAACCTGGAAACAACCTAAATGCCCTCTGATTGAAGAATGGATAAGAAAAATGTGGTGTATTTACACAGTGGAGTACTACACAGCAGAAAAAATGTCATCTTGAATTTTTCAAGAAAATGGGTGGAGCTAGAAAATATTATTTTGAGTGAGGTAACCCAGACACAGAAAGACAATTGTCACATATACTCATTCATAAGTTGATGTAAACATAAAGCAAAAAAAATCAGCCTACAAATTACAATCCCAGAGAACTTAGACAACAATGAGGACCCTAAGAGATATATACATAGATCTAACCTACATGGGAAGCAGAAAAAGACAAGATCTTCTGAGTAAATTGGGAGCATGAGGACCTTGGGGAAGGGCTGAAAAGTCAGGGAGGGGAGCAAAGTTCTTCTGTACTGTTGGGGCATCCATCTTCAGCCTACAGGCCCATAGTATCAATAGCTACACCTGCTTGTTTCTTAGGTCCATTTGATTAGAATATTTTTTCCCAAGCCTTTACTCTGGGATGATGTCTGTCTTTGAGGTTGCGATGTGTTTCTTGTATGCAAAAGAAGGATGGATTCTGTTATCATATCCAATCTGTTAGCCTGTGCCTTTTATAGGTGACTTGAGTCCATTTATATTAAGGGAAAATAATGACCAGTGATTGCTATCTCCTGTTAATTTAGTTTTTATTGTTGATTATGTTAATGTGTGCATTTTCCCCTTCTTTGGGATTTGCTGTTATGAGACCATCAATTGTCTATGTTTTCATTGATGTAGCCAACTTCCTTAGGTTGGAGTTTTCCTTCGAGTAGCTTGTGTAGAGCTGGGTTTGTGGCTAGGTATTGGTTAATCTGGTTTGTCATGGAATATCTTATTTTGCCCTTCTAGGGTGATTGAAAGTTTTGCTGGGTATTGTAGTCTGGGCTGGCATCCATGGTCTCTTAATGTCTGCATAATGCTTGACCATGATCTTCTGGCTTTCATTGTCTCCAATGAAAAGTCAGGTGTAATTCTGATAGGTCTGCCTTTATATGTTACTTGGACTGTTTCCTTTACAGCTCTTTATATTCTTTCTTTGCTCTGTATGTTTAGTGTTTTGATTATTATGTGGCGAGGGGATTTTTTTTGATCCAGTCTATTTTGTGTTCTGTAAACTTCTTGTATCTTCAGAGGCATATCTTTCTTTAGGTTGGGAAAGTTTTCTTCTATGATTTTGTTAAATATATTTTCTGTGCTTTTGAGTTGAACTTCTCTTTCTTCTATAACTATTATTATTCTTAGGTTTGGTCTTTTCATGGTGTCCCATATTTCCCGGATATTTTGCATTAAGCTTTTGTTAGATTTAATATTTTCTTTGACTGATGAGTCTATTTCATGTATTGTATCTTCAGTGCTTGAGATTCTCTTCCATCTCTTGTATTCCACTGTTTAAGCTTGCATTTGTTGTTCCTGATCATTTTCTCATGATTTCTGTTTCTATAATTCCATCAGCTTTGTTTTCTTTATTTTCTCTATTTTAGTTTTCAAGTCTTGAACAGTTTCTTTCATATGTTTGATTGCTTTTTCTTGG